TTTGTTTGTCACTTATCATCTGTTCATTCGGTAAATAATGCCAATTTGCGACATAAAAGTAAACACATTCAAAAACTTACTTGGCAACGCCCAATAATAAAGCAACACAATTTTCGTGGGAGAGCTGAGGGAGCGTCAAGAAGAAAATACAAAAGGAAATGAAAGTGCTAAATGTTTTACACATTTCAGTGGAAGTCAAAGCCGGCAGTAGCTGTAACGAAAGATTCTCAGCGGCTTAATTTAATACTGCGCTTCATTTTCTATTTATAAGTATGGATGTGCTATGTAAATGTATATGTTAAGGTGAACCGCAATATTTTACCTGCTTTTACTATGCTGAAGCAAATGAACATTGTTTTTGTTTTATAAAGGCCTATTTTTGGCCTTTATCACTTAGAGAAAAGTACTTATTTATCAGATACAATAAATAAAGCCGCTTTAAATATACTTAATACAAGGAGAAAAGTTGTTTACTTAAAGTTAGACAAATGTTTTCTTAATCGTGAAATAGTAAATAATTCGAGAAATATTCAAATTTGCTTTAGTTTTCACTGAGTTCTAGAAAAACACGTTACTGAAAATAAGCAAACGGTTTTCTTCTTTACTTACAAACAACAACGTAGCATAAGTATCCGTAAGCGTGCGTTTGACATTTACGCTTAGAAATCAAAATTCATTCTTACATTTTCAAGCGTTGCTATGTAGGTGCTGACTTTGTATAAAAAAAGACAAGAAAATTAAAAACTGTATAGGGTTGTTCGAATGAATAGCCGTCTTAATCACCAGTTCCGAGTCCATTCGATTGCTGGGTATGAGGCCTTATGCTGGACAAAACGGGGAGTATAAAGGACTCAAAATGGAGCAAATTAGCCAATGGTTACAAAAGATATGGAATAAATCAACCGAAGACTTGTGTGCCCGCTTGCGCTTTTCTATCAAAGTGTTTACCGCTGAAAACGCCAAACAAAGGTTAAAATTTAAAAACTAAGTAATAAAATTAAAATTAAATTAAAATCTGTGGAAAATTAATAATAAAATACTTTTTTCGCAAAATCTATAAAGGATCCTTTTATTAAAAAAAAACCGTGTGATTGTTGTTATTTTACACCCTGTATATAAAGCGACATTTGCTTTTTAGCTCAGCTGTGCATATTTAGCGTTGCATGAGAGTTGTCACATAAGGAATCTGTTAAATGAGCTTTGCGTGTAAGCGGTTACCCAACACATAGCACTTCACATGTAGGAGTCTGTTGGGTTATAGCAGTGCACGGTGTCGGTAACGTCGATAACGATGTTTAACCGATGATTAGTGTCAACCAGGCTTTGAGCAACCGGCCCTTAATTGCTTTCCTCAAAAACGTCGGCAATGGCGTCACGTGAGGACTACCGCTTCTGGTTATGAGACCGCAGGTTCGAACCCGCTTGGAGGTGGTTAAAGTTAAGTAAATCAATGATTTCAATTTAAATTAAAATTAACATTGTAAAATTAATTTTATGTGAAAAAACCTAAATTGTCAAATACTATAAAAATTAAAAAATACATATATTTTTTTATGGCAATATATCTGAACGGTACCGTAGTTTTCGAGTCTATAAATGACATAGCGACGGACATGCACCTCCTTTCAAATAAGTATAAGAAGAAGAATATTGCGATACAAACGATAACAATGTCTCTGGCAATAAAACGTCTTCTCTGCATGTGAATTAATAGAAGTTGGAAATATACATATATGCTGCAGTAGATAACTCTTATCCGAACGCTACTGCACATACTTTCGTACATATGTTCATATCTACATATGTAAATATGTACGCACATAATAAATTTATGGCCAATTTGTATTCGCACTAAATTGTCGGCAGCGTGCTCTGTATTTTTATGGAAATTCTAATAACAAATGTATTCAAGCATGAAATTCTATCCAATTCAGAAACTCGTGCTCTAAAAACATATGCACGAAGTTGATCAAATTTACATGCATACTTACATTCCTACATATACCTATACACTGGCGGTCAAAACTGGATGAATGGTTGTTTTTACTACATATTACCAATGTTTTTCAAGCTATTTTTTTTTTATTTTTTATTTTTTTATAACAATATTGTTTATACCTTAACCTAAACCATATAAGCCTTTAATCTGAACCTTTAGAAAAATTTTTGGGTATGCAGTTACATACATGGCATATGAAATTTTAGGAAAATAACAAGTTTTACGCGGCTAAAAACATGAATTTCTTGTGGAAGAAAACATTAAAAAAAAATTTACGTCAGTTTTTATAAGTTACACAAACAAAAATTATTAAAAAATCAATTCGCTATTTTAGCCGTTAAAAACTTTTATTTATTTTACTAAAATTTCATAGGCCATGTTACTGCAACCCAAAAAATTTTCTGAAAATTCAGATTAAAAAGTTCAAAATTTTGATGAAAATTTCTTGAATTTTTCTAAATTCTGTTTGCAAGTTAGATTTTTATGGTTTTGAGTAATGCTATAAAAAATAACAAACAACTTAAAAAAAAGCAAAAAAAAACATTTAAAAAAAGCACCATTCATACCATGTTGACCGCCAGTGTACATGCACACATAAATGAAAACTACTACATACTTTAATGTTAAAAGAGAATGAAAAACAAATGCAAAATAAACTAAGTAAAGTACAGATACATATTCGCCTACGTAAGTTCAAAAATATTTTGTATTCATAATCCATATTTTATATGCAGTGCGTGCCTGATTACGTGTCGTAGTTGTGGGTTCAATGCCTAGTTCTGCTCGGCAATGCTTTTGTTTGCCATTCAAATATTATAAATGATAGATGACTTACTTACTTACGTGTATATGTACCCAGCTAGCAACATTGCCAGAAATCTGTTAAACATCCGTCAGACTCGTCGGCAAAAAAGACGTCAGAGAAGCGTATGGAGAGGTTGACAGGAAGTCTAACCGACACGACGTGGGAAATTCTGACTTAATTACCGACGATTCTGACCGATATCTAACAGATGTCTGACCAAATAATCATGGAAGATAAGAATTATTAGACGTGTCTACCCGAAATCGGACATAATTCGATCAGACATATCGGATAAGGAAATAAATATAATTCTCCAGACATTTCGCCCAGAAATATGTACGAAACCTGTAAGACTTGTCTAAATAGTCAACTTTTATTCCGACTTGCCTGATATCAGAAATTGTCTGGCAAATGTGCTAGTTGGGTACATATAATATACATATATGTATGTATTAAATATTTACAAATTTAAATATGAGGGTATGTATGTGAGAAAGAACGCAAGAATTTTGGTTTGATTGTATGTATAAACTTTTTTCAGACAATGGCAACATTCGGATGGAACGTTGAGTAAATATGATTTTCACAATTTTTTCAAAACAAATATTAAAATTAAGTAGATATGTATTTACATACATATACGTATGTACACTAGGGAGGTCCTTAAATGTAGGAAGCCAATTTTTACATCACAATTCCTAAGCTTCAACCCCTTCTGAACTTTGGCCTCTACGCGACACGTCTTAGCAGTCTGCGATCGTGACCAAAATTTATATGTGATGTCTGTGACCGTAGTACTTATTACCGTCTGAGGGCATGAGACTGAAAAAAAATCGTCCACCCTAATGTACCCATCTTTAGTATCTTGGAAAAATTTAAGACAGATGGACTAAAAAGTTGTAATGCATATACATATGTATGTAAGTACTTGCCCCTTGCGACAACATTTGTTTCGGCGTCTGCAGAACTCTCTTAATGTTCCAAACTGGCTTTAAAAGAACCTTTTGTGAATCACAAATGAAATTTGTGCGCTCTGAAGTGCCGGCAATTAGTTTAAAATTTTCATATTTAGATAGTTTTATATTTTGCCCAAACTAATGAACTGAAAATTTTAAGGGGTTAGGGTTGTAGGAAAAATTGGTTCGAAAATCAATTTTTTTCTGACGCAGATATGAAATTTATAAAAAAAAATCTTATTTTACATACAAAAAGTACATGTAAAAAAATTAAAAAATTATAAAAAGGCAAAGATAAGTAATCTTCTGGTATCCACTTTTCATGAGGTAGAAGAAGATATCTAAACAAAAAGGTGAAAAAATGGTAAACAAAATTTCTCCAAAAGTGGCAGTGGTTTAAAGAACACGCCATGTTTAATTAAATTTATAACTTATGAGCGGTATGAGAATTAACATCCCTAATAGACACTCACCGATTTCAAAGTCGGCATCCCCGCGAAACTGATACGGCTTTGTAAAATTACGTTGAGCAATACCACCAGCTCAGTCAGAATTAGGAAAGACCGCGTTTTCCGACAGGATGACTTCCTTTCGTATGATTTCTTTAATATGATGTTGGGGAACGTAATAAGAACTGAACTGCTCAGGAACAATTTTTTAAAAGAGCGTGCAATTACTGACGTATGCCGATGACATCAAAATCATCGGCAGCAAAAACCGCGAAGGCAAGTTGAATAAGGAAGTAAAGCGAATGGATCTGGTGGTAAACGAGACAAGATGAAGTAACTCCCTATCACATCAAACAAGCAGTCAGTCAGTACATTCGCGCCTTGGCACCCGCGTCCTTCTTGACAGTTGTAACTTTGTGAAAGTAGAAAATTACGTTTTGCCTGGCAACCAGCCCTAGCACCGGTAATAATGTCAGCATCGAAATCCATCCTGCCAACAAGTGCTTCTTTGGACTGAGTAGGCAATTCAGGAGTAAAGTCCTCTCTCGACGTATGAAAACCACACCCGGCTTCACTTGGTATTTCCAGTTGGCACACAAGAGAAACGACTGGCGCGCTATATTGAACTCGGCCAAAATCGCTTAGGCGATTACAGCGCTAAATAAGAAGAAGACCACATATACAGAGATTCAGAGGAATCAAGGTCAAAGGGTATGTAAAAAAAGAGCGCCCTACTTTCGGCAAAAAAAAAGTTATTCGAAATTGCCTTGCAAAAATACTTTAGACTTTTCTTCTGATACGGTCTAATGTACATACATACATATGTATGAAAGAACTGATACAGCGAGCAACGAGAAGGCAAATTATCTAACATCAGCTACAAGATACTCAATACAACAATAACAACAACAATTATTATAGCAGTCAACAGTTGAGAAAACAAAAATTAAAAAAAAAAAACAGGAACAAAAATACCCACTATCTGTGCATTGCATGTGTTCACAGCAGCAGCAACAATAACAGCAAAACCAATGAAAGCAACCGTATCGCCTTCGCTGGAGCAGCACCATGCCATGTCATTGTTGATAAGCGGAAGGAAGTTAATTTTGCATAAAAATAGTGAAAGCCATTGCTGTTGATAACAAACTGGCGACTTTATGGTATTCTAATTACTCTTGACATTTGAATGCTTCACTATCCATAAATTTTATGCTTGTTTGTTCAGAACGTATCGAATGGACTTTAAACAAGAGCTTGAGGCTAAAACTACGATATTATGTTTTGTACGCTTTGTGTGCTCCGCATGCACACTGAATGACGTAAAATGTTTGCAATCATTGTTGCTTGTGATGGGCTGTCAAAATGGTTGTGCGGATAGCATATCTTTAGCTGCCGTTTTATGTAGACAAAATACATATGTAGTAAGATTTCTTCAGTTTCTACACCTACTACAGTTTTGACTACTTATTTTTTGCTTTTTTTAAGGTTCATTATTTTTATTTACAAATGCCATAAATTTACGTATTTAAATATAAATCTCAGACTTTGTACAAAAATTATAAAAATTCCACAAACTTTTCATCCCAATTTCGAGCATTTTAATTTTAATTTCCAGAACAGTTTTTGATATGCAGTTTTATAGCTTATTAAATTCTAGTAAATTAAAGTGCAAGTTTGAAGTTGCTAAAAAAATCGCATTGATTTTTGATATTTTTTGAAGTGAAACTTCTTAATTGAGTTCGGAGATGGTTGCGTTAAATATTGAACAACATATCATAAAATCTGTATGGAAATGAAGATGAAGATGAAGATGAAAATGAAGATGAAGATGATGAAGATGAAGATGAAGATGAAGATGAAGATGAAGATGAAGATGAAGATGAAGATGAAGATGAAGATGAAGATGAAGATGAAGATGAAGATGAAGATGAAGATGAAGATGAAGATGAAGATGAAGATGAAGATGAAGATGAAGATGAAGATGAAAATGAAGATGAAGATGAAGATGAAGATGAAGATGAAGATGAAGATGAAGATAAAAATAAGTAGACTGTTATGATCGACCTGTAATTTTCACTGGCCGAGTCTGATGAACCAACAATATTTTTTAAAGAAAAACTTTCACTGGAAATGGTTAATGGTAGAAATGAACTAACAAACAAGGATCGACTACCATTGATGCAGTTTATTCCAGAAATAGTAATAATATTGAAATAAAACATTTCATATACTTTACTTACCACAATCTACAAGTTAATATTGTAGATATGCATGGTTTATCAGCCATAAATAATAATTAAACTTTGCAGTTGGTTATAAAAAAAAAAATCAAAGGTCGTTAAGAAAAATTTTAAATAAATACATACATATGTTTTTTTATACTAGATAACATGTATGCACATGTGTATGTATATCGCACATTTCTTTCTTTCTGGAATTTCCTCTATTAAGTTTCACTTCTTCCGGGCGTAGGGACTACACGCACTGATTTTTATTTTTTGTTTTGTTTTTTTTTTTGCTGACGGTGTTTTGCAAATCCAAACTTGCACTTGGGGCAAAGACAAAGAAACGATGTTGGCAACATACAAGGCAATTGGCCGGCTGGTTCTAAATTATGCAGCGTCCATGTGGTCGCCGGGGACTAGGAGGACACAGTGGTCGAAACTGCAGCCTAGTCATAACACGGCACTTCAGACTGCGACTGGATGCCTTCTGATGTCGCCCCAACACCACCTACACGACGAGGCCCAGATGTTCCAGATGTTCCACACCAAGGAGCACAATGAGCATAACACAATGCTCTGCAATAGACCGTTCGTTTTTTCAACTTTTTTTTTTAAAACATATACAGGTTGCCTGGCTGAAAAAGATGTCTATTGATCTAAAATTAAGCTGTACAAAGTTTTATTCTAATATGATAACTTTTGCGCGTTGCATTTGAAATTTTAGAGAACCATGTGCATTCAGAGAAAAAAGGTGTTAACAAATTAGTTGAAAATCGTGAATTTTATAGTCATTTGCTATGTAAAAAATAATCTGAATATGGTTAAAAATAAAAAAGTAGAATAGGTTCTAAGAATTTGCGAAGTTATCGTTTGTTTTTCAAATCGAGAAAACAGCATTTTCAATTTTTTCAAATAGGAAGTTTCTGCGGGATAAATTTATACTTGGAAATATTTATTTATTTATTTAATCAAATGGAATAAAATCCTTACTGACTATAAAACAAGAGAGCTTTTACACTACCTAAAATAATTAAGTAGGACAAAACGAACTGTTCCAAATGAGAGAGACGGATCATATTCAGAGAGCTCATTTAGCTCAGAAAGGGTTCTGAACAAAGGCGAGAATTTTACATAGTTAGTTTTTGGAAATCCCAGGTAGAATAAAGAAACACGACGCAGATTGAGAGACGGAACGTTTAATGCTAACTTATCCAGAAGATTAGGACAATCGACTGTGCCCTCCAATATTTTGGCCACAAAATAGGCTACGAGGAAAGAACGCCTAGTAAGTATTTAACGAACTTAAATTAAGAAGTTGACAACGAGAAGTATACGGAGGTATAGGCTCAGAAAATTTTAGAGAACGCAAAATAAAAACTATTTTACTAAAGTTACATAAAACTTCAAGCTTTTTCCAGAGTTGGCGTTTTTTTCCTCTCATATGAGAGAAATCCTCAGAATTTTTAATTACTTTTAAGTCACTGTATAATTATTTTAATAGATAAATATTAAGCCAATTTGACGACGGGTTTTGTTTGACGTTTTTTAGTATATCTGACAAACAAGAAGAAGACAAATTTTGTGGGATATCATTTCATAAAAAATGGGCCCAGTAGCTATTCTAATTCTTTTTCACGAAGCCAAATTAAATAAAATGTGGTCAACAACAACTGCTTTAGTGTTTTTTGATAAGATGTCCCAGTGGAGGAAAAGCGAGAAATGGTGAGCCACTGCAATTAATCGAGCCAAACGTAAAATTCAGTGAAGATAGATTAATTGCAAATCAGGTTCTCTTGATTGGCAAAACTAATTAGATATTTATTGTCCCACAACACTAATGGGTCGATTACGGATTGCAACCGAACTTCAGTTGGGTGGCCAGTGGCTGAGATGGTATTAAAGATGGCAACTGGCAACTGAAAGCTATGTTGGCAACTGCATTTTTACGATTGCCGCAGAAATTGTGATCGAGATAATTTATTTCTTTTTTGAACTGTTTCTTCAGCTTATTTACACTCAAGCTAAGTTACTGGTTCTTCAAAATTTTATTACCTTCAACTTTATAGAACTTAACTATAGTTCCTACTCATAATATATATGTTCATTACAGTGGCGTTGACCATCCATTATCGACCCATAAAAGTTTCTTCGTTACCTTTGGCTTGTCTTCAGACTTCTTACGGATTGATCCATCCGAATGGGGAAAAAATGAAGATTATACATATATGTATATAGACGCAACCGAATTTTGTCGAGATTTATTCTTTGTAAATGACAAAGCTGAGTGGGGTGTTCAATTTATGAAAGATTACAATCGAATCTTGACAAAAAATGCGCAAAAACAATTTGTGCTTAGAACATCACACAATAAATCGGAACTGAATTGTGTATTAAAACTTCATTCTTATCAAATTTGGCTATATTTTCTTGAATTTGGCTTCGTGAAAAAGAATTAGAGTAGTATGATATGATATCCCACAAAATTTGTCTTCTTCTTGTTTGTCAGATAGACTAAAAATAGTCAAACAAAACCCGTCGTCAAATTAGCTTAATATTTATCTATTAAAATAATTATATATACAGTAACTTACAAGTAATTTTAAATTCTGATAAATCCTCTCATAAAAGAGAATAAAAGAGGACAAAAACGCCAACCATGGAAAAAGCTTGAAGTTTTATGTAACTTTAGTAATATCGCATGCACTTCTAACTCGTTTTTTAATCACGCGCGCTTTTTCACAGAAATGAAAAAAAATATATTTATGAACATTACAGAATGTCTCCAATGTGAAAGGAAAAAAATAAATGCATTGAGATTAACTTACAGGCAAATATTGTTGTCATCTAAACTCACCAAAATACGAAAAGTTTTACAATTTTCTCAGACTATGGATATGCCCTAGTTAACACTGTGCAGCAGTAGATCACAAAGGGGCAAATTCGTCAGCTCAGTATGCACGTTAACTTAAGCAGGGATCACACGATTTGTACATTTAAACATTTGACAGTTACAGAGTCGTGTTGTTTAGAAATTCTTATCGAGAATAAGTTATGCTCAATAAGAACTTTCAAAAGAACACCACTTTGTAACTGTGAAAATGGACAAATCTGTACAAATGTACAAATCGTGTGATACCTGCTTTAGACCAGCTACCCACATGTACGAATGGCGAAGTATTCTGACGAAGTCGAGAGGGAGTCAAACATTCCCTAAACATTTGAGGCATAGCATGGGATGAGTTTAAAATAATTTTGCTATGTGCATATCAGAGTAAATGGTCGGTAAGCATAAATTGGAGACCGATAGGAAGAAAGTCTGAAAATATCTAGCAGTTAATAGCATTTTTCTTTGGGCTATTGCATAGTAATTGATAGCTTTCTATTTTGAAGGGTTCAATAATATCAAAACAGCTAATACCTTAATTTATTACATGTTGTCTTTAGTAACAATGTCATTTAGGTATATAGCTTTAATTGCCCAAGCGCTGAGATAGCCACCAATAAGCGGTATTTCAACCGTTTATTTTACTTGTTATCAGTCATTTAATAAGCTCTTATACACTGATGCGAAGGTAGCAACGGGTTTATTTATTATCAACTAACATCTATATTCCCACTGAGCAATATTGCTTCTACTAGACCATATTTTTGTAAATAGAATGTTAGGTCTACGGTGCGTTCGACATATACGAGTGGCTCACCTGGTAATCAGAGAAACTTAAAATTTGTGATAGCCGTACTTATGTATTCATATTCATTTTCATTTTTATTCAGTCTATGCTTTACAAACTTCCAGACCAGAAATTAGGCTAGGAGATATTATTATATCGTTACCTTAATTCACAAAGGTCCTAACCAACGCTTTTTTCGAAACTGCGTTTTTCACAGATTTTGCTGGGACATACATAGATATTAAAATACACCTTTAATAAAAATTTGTAAGTGTTAGTTCCAAAAGCAACGTAGTTACATGCCACTTCCCATTCGGACTCATATTAGAGTCAGAAAAGTCTCAGAGTTCTGAGTTGTAACCCTCATTATGAGTTTAAAAGAGTCAGAAAAGAGCATATTTCCCTTCTTAGAAGGGCATGTCAATATGAGTCCAAGTTAAGAGTCGTATTAGAGTCTGAAATATGACGCTTTGTTGTATTTGTTCAACTCATATTTCTGATGAAAGAAACTCATTTTAGAGACATCAGTTCTGAGCACTCAGAAAAGTGTGTAAAGGGTTTTTAAAAAGCCCTACCTGTTTTTGATACTGATTTTATAAAATGGGTATTCATGGAAACGTGTAACCGCGTAAACTTCGTAAATAAACCGATTTTCCATACAAAATTAAGTATTTTTACGAGGTTTATACGATTATGAGGCATTTACGCGTTTAGATGAATTGCCCTAATGTTTTTTGCTTTGTGAATTAAGGTACATAGCCTGATCCGCCAACACATAAAAGCCTCGTGGGATGTCACCGTGGAAATCACCCCAATAACGCCCTGCTTCGAAATGAACCGCCTCCTCGACATGTCAGACGTCACCTGCACGATTGGAAACCCGACGTTGAGCCGTGCGTATACCACCCTTTCGACGCAGAGAAATACAGAGCGGCGCTTAACCACCTACACACCGATGCAGTCAGGTCGAGTCTTAGTACCAGGAACGACAACATCGTTCTAGGCGGTCGACCGCCGCCCATCAACATCGACGAAGCTGAACTGCCAAGAAAGACCAGGTGCACCCTAGCTCTACTCCGTTCTAAACAGCTATTTCTCTCGGCTGAACCCAGGAGTGGCAGACACATGCCCTGCATGGGGGCAAGGTCCACACAACACCCAACACCTCTTCGCATGCGCCTCTAAACCCACGACCCTGACACCAGAAGCACTATGGACTGCGGCGGGTGAGTACTGCTGCTACAACAACAACAACAACAACAACAACAACAACAACAACAACAACAAC